ACACTTGCCATATGCGGATTCGACTTCTATGTGCGACTCTTCAACTTTTGGCTTTGAGAGCTTGAGACAGAATCTTGAGCACTGGGAATGCTTGTGCAAATACTCACAGAAGCCTGTACTTGTGCGTCCCAGTTGAAGTCGTGCAGTCTTCCCGAAAGTGTTGCCACATCCCTGAGGCCAATAGCAGGTCACTTGGGATCCTGTACAGCCGGCGGGTGAATAGCGCCCTGGCACTGGCCCTAGTCCTGATTTGCACATTGCTTTCCGAAATCTGTACAAGATCATGTGGTCCCGTTCAGGGATTTGCAGCAGTACGTGTGTTCGAGTAAGGGTGTGCTGCGCGGTACTGCAGCTTGCTTTGATGCATGTAATGCGCGGTGTTCTTTTCTTGTAATTCAGCCTGATATGCAGCATGTTCAATGGTAAGGGCTATCATAACAAGCGGGAGGCAACAGAGCTTTGGCCGTTCTAGAGTCATTTACAGCAGCAAAGTTAGGCCAATCGGCCAAAAACAAGCAAAACCGAAGCTGAGCAAGGCCCTGGACAGCGACTCTGGGCCTTTTGGCTTGCACAAGGCCTGCCGGGTGTGTAAGTTCAGGAAGCACAAATACATGACCATTCCTTTGAGGCACCTAAAGCAGCACAATGCGATGCCCATTGCGTGCCCAAAATATTGTGTAGGTATGGTACCCAGGGACGTACATTACAGCCTGGGCATGTGCTCATAGTTCATGAGCAGAAGCATTTGCACGACTCAGCTTGTTTGTTACATGCAGCCTAGGTGCTGGTTTGAAAGTGGATGACCCTTGCGTTGCGCTTGTGCGTCAGATATCTTCTGCACCTTCACTGATAGACGTGAATCCTTCCTCCTGCCTGGATTCTGAAGTATGGGGCAGCTGATGGATGATCCCGATCTCCTTCAACAGTAAAAGAGTCAAGCCAGCGCAGTCACACCAACTTCTTGCTTATCTTTTCTACTGGCGTTGATCACCTGTTCACGAGGAACGGCACCTTGAGAGTAGTAAGAGTCGTAACGCGGATACATGACTCAACATGTTGATTATCTGTCAGGCCTCCTCAACGCAAGGCACTGAGAGGCATGCTGCTCTTGCAGCAGTGAACGGCTTTCTTTACATTGGCTTTGACTTGAGCACCTTGGATTCTGTTTTGTATACAGTTCGTGCAAGTTTTTTGTAGAACGTTGAATGTAGTTGTACTCCAGCTTGACAGCTCGATCTTCGTGCTGAGAGCCGCAATTTTTCAGTACGCGTTCAGAAGGGTTTCTTCGCGGCTCCAAGGCTGGACAACAGCGTGCGGGTACTTCAGAAGATGCCCTCAGAGCAGCTTAGCTGCGAAAGAAGCGTCTCCTCGTCTGGCTCTATTCTCATGTCCGCCATTCGGTTGGTCTGGTGACCACAAAAGTCCTCATGCTATGGCAGAGATTAATTGACCATGTGCGGGATTTTCTGATGAAGGGCTGGCTGCCATGCCCCAAGTCGTCTCTATTTTTTCTTGTTTTCGGTACACTGCAGCTTGCTTTGTGGAAAAATGGGAACCAAAGGGCCTCCCAGACCCAGAGACTTTTCTTCGCTTCAAGCTGGCCCATTTACAAAAGTGAATCCTTCAGGCCGGAGCTGACAACGGTACCGTCACCCCCAGCGGAGGGAGATGGCGGAGGTGGAGCGGGAGCACCAGTTCGGTCCTCAGAGGGACTTGTGACGAGGGGCCTAGATCCCTAAACTGAAATTTGCATAGCTGCTGCTGTGAAATGGGTGTCTTGATTCGGAGATGAGGTGTCGCTGATCACTGTGACAGTGAATCGCAAGCCCACGCGGGCTATGTGCCTTCTGCGTTTCTGGGGTCTGTGTGGAGATATGATTGCTATGATTCAGGAGAGGTTGTCTGCGCTGAGCCTTGGGAACACTTGTCGAGGTTTAAACAAGAAGTCGCACAAGCATTGCATTGGTCCCGGTTGCCTGGTACTGCTTCTCCACAGAGCCGCTACCTGTTGCAGGTATCATGTCAGTGACACCACCGACGTTGCATTCCTGATTGCCCGACTGGCACGTGACCTGACAGATCTCAGAATGCTTTGTCCACGTGTCTATAAACCCTGAAGTCAGCTTCTTTTCACAACTCGAGTGCCCTTTTCCGCCTGGACCCAGAAGGCAAAACTACAACTAGCAATGCCGAGGCGAAATTCGTCAAGCGAAGCAGGCTCGTCGGCTTGTCTTTGAACGCTGTGTCACAGCTTGGCCCAGAACTGACCAGGAACACATCAATGCATTGCAGCTAGGGCACCTGCTTGCAGCGCAAGACACCAAACGTGAGCAGAAACGCTGACGAGGCGCAGGACAACGAATGCAACGCCGTGGCCGCGGCCGCTCAAGGCCACCCGGCCAAGAAAGCAAAGCTTGCCTGCCTTTCATTGCCATGGCTTGTGCACGTGATCTAAGGTAGCACATCTGCTGTGAAGAGTGGCAAGGTCTTTCTAACTACAATTTGACTCAGGAGTCCTGGACACCAAAAATCCTTGCATCGTGGATGCCTTCACTCCAATCTCTGAATATCGCGGAACTATGTTGCCATCCAACAGTTGCATATGTGTGCCCATGGTCTGGATTCAACATGCAACAGCCTACAGTCGTAGATCTGTGTCTTCAACTTGAGGCCACCACGAGGCTGCAGAGGAGGCTCTGCCTGAGCGAGCCCTGTCAGAGGCAGGGGCTAGCTTCATGCAGGATCTTCGTCACAGTTACGGCCCATCATTGGACAGAATGTGAGAAGAGTGTTGGCTTGCATGGCAGAAAGTTGTGAGATTATATCTGCAATTGCCATGCTTTAAATAGTCGATATTGACTAGCAGCATGATTCGTACGAATCCTGGGCCGCCAGAGTCTTTGCTTTAGTCCTGTTATAAACCATTGTTGCCGATTTGATATGCTTGTCATTGCAATTATTAACATTACTCTAATGATGGTTTCTGCTATCACTACAGCAATTAATGTTTCAACTATTTGCGGCATCATTGCAATGAAGTTTTGTTCTGTCATGAGTCTACCGGAGTCTACCGCTGCTACATTGTTGTTGTTTTCTTCTTCTTGTTGTTGTTGTTGTCGTTGTTGTTGTTGTTGTTGGTACTATTGCTATTACCCTTACTGCGTCCGTTATAATCTTCGTCACTTAGTTACTACTATCACTACTGTTGTTGTTGTTGTTGCTACTGCATCTACTGCTCTGCTGCTGCCGCCACATTCTTGTCTAACGACCGTTATCACTCTTATTGTGATGAGAGTTCTTTTCACGACTTTCGAGTCAGTGCTAGTTGGTCAGCATGGCCAGTATACTGACCCAAGTTGTGCTACTACTGCTGTCATTGATGCTACAAACACAGCTGTTGCTATCGTTGTTAGCTACTGCCGCAGTCACTAAGGTGACTGCTACATCCGTTACAGGTGACATTGTCATCAATGCTATTGCTGTTTTTGCTTTTTAGGTTATTGTTGTCATTACTACTGTCATCGCTGTTGTTATTGTATCTGTCATCACTACAGTGAATGGTATGTTTGCGATCATCACTAGTACCGTTGCTATCATTGTTGCTGCTTTATTGCCAGGGATATAGAGCCGGCTCATGATGATACTTGCTTTCCTTTTGCTACTGATGCTCGTCTCCGCCTCTGCCCTGAGAACAGCGGCAAATTGTCACAGGTACTTGATGCAAGATACAGTGAAAGACACCTTTTGCGGAGGACAATAAAATTTATCACAAAGCAACACACAGTAACTTACCGCAAGCACATCCATATGATTTTGGGGGCCTTTTGCCAGCCTCAGCTCATGTTACAAATGGTGACAGAAGATCTAGCCCGAGAGTGACACTTGCCAGGGCAAGCTTGGCTTCCGACGACGAACATCCGAAGGCGACGCATGACGCGTGTTGATAGTCGAGACACGCCTGCGGGTGCTCTTCAGTGACAAGTTTGGCTCACTTCAAGGGGCTGCGATCCTCCGCAGCTTTCTTTCAAGCGTAGGATTTGGCTAAGATTTGGAGTGAGGGTTGGAGGTCGAACCAATTCCAAAGCCTACGCCCTTCAGCCTGACTCTGTGAAAGAGTTGTGGTTGAGCCTTGTACATGTGCTTCTCACAGCGTTCCACAGCTGGGACGTTGTGACTGCTCTGCGAGCATCATTTGTGCAGACTCGATCTAAACTTTGCCCGAACCCCACTGCGCTAACGCCGTAATGACAGGAGAGATAAGCCATTACCTGAACCTTGCAGACCTTAAACCTTTTCGCAAGACATGCCGGCTTGTCCCCGGTTTCTTGTGTCGGTGGCTGACCTAAAAAGGAGCCCATGAAGAAGCTGTCCCAGGTTCTAGGATATTCGTTTCAATAGGGTCATGTTGCTCATTAAGGTGCGGGCCGCGGACTGTTTTTGGGTGTGACTCCTTCAAAAGCTTCTGTTGGCAGTTTGCAGTCCCAGAATACCGGGTGCAGATCCCAACAAAGACACGTACTAATCCGCACCCTGATTTCTAAAACGAATCAGTTTCTGAGTAGGCAAGCCGTGCCAGAGAGATTACGTCGTACGCTTTCCACTCCAAGCCTACTGCAGGGGTCTCCGCGGCTAGACTGGGAAAGCTAATGGACAGTGGCTTATGCTCAGGCCGTCTTTATGTAGGCTGATATAGAGCAGCTCCCGGATCATCTTGGCTTCAGCGTGATTTGTTGCAGCGCAGCTTTTGACACCCTTGCTTGCAGGTTTCTTGCTGCAATTTCGGATCCAACTCAAATGCACAACCACGGTCAGCAGTTGGAAAGTCAAGCGCAACAGCTAGCCAAGTTACTTGGTAGCGTTGTAAGGCTAGTCAAACATTCCTTCCGAGTAAGCTCAAGAGAGTTGCGTCAAAGACAGGACTGCAAGCATTCAACATCCTCCAGCCCAACAGTCCAACCCCCTCAGCCCATACCCCACTTGCTTTCACGAATGTGGTAGCAATGGATTCTCCAAAGCAGGTCTCGCAGCATTCTGTCAGGGTTCTACCGTTGAGGATGCTTGGTGTTTCACGAATGGTCCCCAACTTCTTGGCACACTGGTAGTGCCTTCCTTGAAGATGGTTGGCCCTTTCGTCATCTGATTTGGTTGCATGCTTGTAAGGCCTCTTGATAAATCTATTTCCGGACAGGAGCACCCTAGTGCGCGCTTTGCAGATGATGAGATCGATGGCATCAACGTGCGCTGGCAGCTCAGCGCAGTTTACACAGAAACACTTGCAAGGCAGGCAAGGCAGGCTTTTGCGCCACAGTTTGCGCAGACCAGGCCTATCGCTATCAACTTTAATTTAGAATTGTTTGCAACTCCCGGAACGCACCTTTGGCAGACAACTCACTTAAAGCTAGCGATGCGTTCTGAGCAGTCTTACATGAACAGGCTAGTGCTCTAGCAAGCCTAGCAAAAAGAGCACCCAATGTGAAACATGTGAATATGTGCACAGGTTCGGCCGTGCCCGACAGGCCTTTCTACAAGGTGCTTTCAAAGTTGAGCCTTTTGAAGCCGATGCTGCGATGACATGGGTTGAATGATTCGCGGTGTCCTGCAGCACGCTAGCAGGTCGTGCAGGACAAAGATGGGCTGACATATGCCCAGGCGGGGCATGTTCAGGGAGGTTCTGGTCGAAGCATCGATGAAGCAGGTCCAATGCAGCTCTTGCAAAGAGCTTCTGTTGCTGGCTTGGTGGACATGGACTAGCATTCTCACAATATTTGTCACTTGTTCAGGGTGTCCGGCTGCAGACTGACAAGGCCAGACCTGCAGCTTCTGTGTCAATACAATTGGTTCGACAAGTCTTCAACCGCGCGAGCCAAATACCTTGAACTTAGTTTTGCGGATCGGGGCCTTAGTGCCATGTTGTCCATAGAAGGGGCCAAACAGGGGTGGCATGGTGTGGCCTTCAGAGGGCATCCATCAAACCCTCCGGATCCAATCCTCAAAGCTGCCTGCTATGGCAGGTTGAGCGGGCGAACCGCCGCTTACAATCCTTGGAAGCTCGGCCCCGAGCGTTGCTGCTTGCATGGCCCAGCCGAGTCTAGCAGAGCTGGGAATGCAAACGGAGAGGTTTGACGTGCAGAAGGCTTGATAGCACGATGTTGAGCCGGTCAAGCACCATCCTGAACCGCCCCAGGCAAAGGAGATAGAAATCCAGACAGAGAATGTGGCTGACAGTACGGAGACGGAGGCCTTAATGCTGGAGCTTCAAGGTCACCAAGAAGGGTTTTGCTTCCTTAGCAGCATCCTCAATCCTGGAGTTTCGTAGTCAAGCATTCATTGGTCTACCATGGTTGAACACTTTCACTTTTGTCTGCATCGCGTTGGCAGGCGGTCCTTGGAAGGAGCCAAAATTCACTGCTTGATGCCCGCTGATTAAGCCCTTCTTGACTGTTGGACACTCAAGTGCGTTCCCTCCCCTGCTTGTCCGATCCGCAGTGCAGCCAGGCGCTTGCGGACGAGGCTGTCCTGGCGGAGTTTCTCCGGGCTGTGGCCCCAACCATGGAGCAGGCTCCTTGCTGTTCAGATGGCTGTCAGGGCTAGTGGGTTTGCTGCTGTGCGTTGATGTAGACAGCCTGACGCTTGCGGCAGTTGAATGAAAAGGAACCTGAAAGCCCATGCATGTCATTGCCATGCCACTCGAACCAAATCTTCGCGGCAGGAGTTGCTCCTAGCTTGGCATACCTTGTAACTTGGCAGCAGGGTGCCAGGGATTGTATTTTTTGTGCTTCAGGAGTTTGCGGCAAGGGTTTCCGGGTTGCAAAATCTTAAGAAACTGTGATGGGTACAGACCTGAGATTCCTCGAAGATGACATGAGTGTGGAAGCCGCATGAAAGCTAGCAACTGGCTCAGGCCCGTCTTCGAGTCATATGTGCCTGCGCCCCGGTATTCGGAGCCTCAGAAATTGAGCTACGTCAGCTGCGCGCATCCCCTTGCTGACTGTAGAGTTGGAGGTCTGGGCTGCATCAGAAGGGAACACAGGAACTCAATGTTCCGAAGAAGGAGCTAGGTCTGCTTCTAGAGTGGTAAATTCTGAAGTCTGCACGAAATGAGTAAGTAAGGCTGTAAGGGTGCCAGGAAGACATGGGAAAGCTCGAGCAAAAGCTTAGATCCTCTGCCCGAGGCCAGTCTGGGATGATGTGGCCGAGACATGCGAGATGACTCATCAGGTTGGCTATGATTCCCTGCCATGCCAGATGTTGCTGAACTCGGTGCAGCACCAAATTTCACTGCATGACTGGACGAATTCTGGAGTGCGTGCTTTAGCACTCATCCAACACGAGCCTTGCAGCCTGCCAGATACATGTGTGAGCTACAAATGGCTGCAAAGCACTTCACGCGCGTGCCACGACTTGAGTGGCAGTTTCTTCTAGCCACTGCAGTATGACATTCCTGCCGCATCCTTCCGCACTGCATTGTTTTGCGAACATTGCTTGAAAAGCTCTAAGCTTTCCGTGTCAGGTCTGGAAGGAGGGCCTTGTGGATCTTCAGGCGTTGGTGTTCTGAAGAGCCAAGCTAGCTTCGAGCCCCTGAGGAAATTTTTCCCCCGGCAGCAGCTGTGCAAGTCAAGCTAACCGGCGGACCATCTTTTGAGAGCCCGGTCACCATTGCAGCAGTTGTTGGTTCACAGGTTACCAGTGTAGCCTGGAACTCTACTGGGGCGACCTTGGCATGTGCTTACGGCAGACTGGACACGCCAGGAGCCTCAGGCTACCTGCGGGGCCACTCTTACTTTTGAAAATGAGTCGCCGGGTTTGTTGGAGCGAGACATGCCACTCGAAACGCCTCATGTTGAAAGCAGAGCTTGTGGCCCCAAGAGTAACCAGGGGCCACTCCGGTCACTCGGGTAGATCAGGTACTGGCTACTGGTTCGTAGGCTTGGCTGCAGGTAGCACTCATTTTTGCCCGCCACCGCCCCCTTCGCTTTCGGGACGCTAATACTTAGTCTTCAGGACTGAATTTCTGCGCATCCCACGAACAAAGGAGCGTCCATGAATGGTAGTGGGATGATGGGTGAGCATAATTCTGGTACAGGTGAAAACTGGAGACAGGTTTTGGATTTGGACCTTGCTGGCTACAAGGTGGTCGGATAGGGTTGACACCTTGCACATGTAATGTCTCCATGATGTTGAGCCTCCTTGACCCAATTAGTCCGATGAGTGAGGTCCGTTATGATCCCTTAATGCCAGCGCTCTAAATGCAAAACTGTTCTGCTAGCAAGGCTGGGATGGTGCAACGTCACTGCGCCAGTTTGTGTATGGAACATCTTTCGGCAGCAATCTCAGAATGACGACGACGACGACGAGGATGATGATGATGATGATGATGATGATGTCCGCCAAGAGCTTTCCTTGTGGGACAGCCGCGTGGCTTGATAGCTTGATAAAATCTGTGCCCTGTGTTCTTTGTGAGTAGCCTGAGGCCGCAGCTCGTGGCCGGAGAGCCTGATACAGTCATCCAGGTGCAAGGCTTTGTCATGTGCCCGGAGGCTCAGAAGTCTTCAGGATGTAAACGTGTTTTGATGTTTGCTTAGCGTTACCACATACGTTACCTGCTGTTACATCCTCATTGTCTGACCAAGGCGTGGCCTTCCACCCGACAAAGCCCAGCGTGTTAGCTGGTGGCACTTACAACGGTGAGCTGCAAATCTGGTGCACCACTCAGCTGCGGAAGGTCTTGTGGAGGTGGCGTTGGTGTAGGGCCAGCTTTCGAACTGGAGGGGTTGAGTAGAGACTTTTCACCCAGCAGTCTGCTGTGACCGGCCCTTTGAAGCATACAAGTTGAGGAGCAGATCAGACGCTTCATACTCTGCCACTGCCAGACCTTCACCCGGATGATACGCCTGGTTGTAGACAAATCTGAAGGCCTGCTTGGATGGGAAATCCAAACACCTTCAGCAAGCAACAGGCACTCGGACAAACAGTTCCTGCAGCTCCGCAACCTGGGCGCGGGGCTATACCTGTATCAAACATCTACAACATGTGCTCTTAAAGGAACGTCTCACGCCCGCACCAGGAATACCGGCGCAGGAGAACTCGACCCGTCCCTCGGCAACGAAAGCTAGGTTTGGAAGCGTTTCAGGGCAATTCTGGCCATCTTGCTTGCTGCTGTTCAGTAGTCAGGACCGGTGTAGCTTGGCCTGCGCACCACAGAAATCAGTGCTTTCACTGTCACAGGGGCGCTGTTGAAGCAGTTTGCCCTCCTGCTCTGGCTCAGCTGAGGCTGGTAGCATCATCGTCTATTGATGATTACTTTCACCGCGAGGCGCATTTTGTAGGTGGGCTTTTGGAATCCATGGCACGCACCCGTCCAGCTTCAGATTGAGACGTGGATTATCTGGTTCTGGTGACACGCTTTGTTCATGAAGTGCAATAGATAGGAACAGGATTGGATTCCAGCTGACGTGCTTTTGACTCAAGGACAATGATTCGATGCACTCAGTACAAAGCATAACTCCAGCGTAAAGCAACAAATTCACCTAGAAGCTGCATGACAACCATCCATGTAGCAGCCCAAACAACCAATTAAGCCTGTGCATCATGTGTCGACATGTCAGCGCGTAGGAACCACCCTGAAACGCGAGCCTGTGACCAGGCCATACAAGCCGTAGAATGGATCCCAGCAGATCTGCCGCTGGGCTTCTTCTTGTTGTAGGTGTGAAAGCAGAGCTGCGATGGAGCAGTGCTGTAAATGGGGTGACAGAAGTCTGGCATACAAAGTAAGATTCTATTCTCCTTCTAGCTTCTAGCTCTGCTGCTTTATAAGAAGAACATAACTTGGCTGGGTTGAACCGCCAAACCAACACTACTGAAGCGCTGCTATTGGGCCCAACCAAAGCTCCTGCTCGCATCTGCTCGCGCTCCTGCTGCCATGATGCTTTGTGTCCCTTTGCAAGAGACCAAGGAGCGGATCTGCGGACGCTTGGCTGATTGCCACAGTTACAGCCTCAACTCGGAGCCATGTGGTTTGCGTAAACCAAAGGCTGTTAATGTTTCAAACTCTATCGACCAGACTGTGGCCTCAGCTTCACGCACAGACTTCACCAAAATCTGCCTGACAAAAGAAGAGGTCATACGCTCATCCTCCAAGGTCTCTGAAGATGGCAAAGTCCTCCTCTGGGACGCCCGAGAGAGCGATCTTTCTATGCCCTCCAGAGGCAAATCGTCTTCCCAACAAGAATAGACCTATCACCTGTGGCTTTCATGATCTTTGTGAGTTCAATTTTGGCGCGGTGAAGCGCGAAGGTGACCTCAGTATGAGATTTTCTGCTTGCTCATGGACACTCTGCTTAAACGGGCGATGGAAATGCGGGTTTGCTGGGCAATATCCAGACGATACGGATTGACAGGCCACCCGGTTCACCGCAAAAGCTTGTGGGTGAGCAGGAATCTTGAAGTCACCAGTTCTTCCTTTGAGGCATGATTGTTGCTTTAAAGTTACGATGTTCTGTTGCTTGTTTGTTTGTGTAAGGCATAGCCGATTTGTGCAAGGCATAGCCGGAATGGGCGAAGGAATTCGTAAAGCTTCGGTGACTGCGACCGGCTGCGTTGTTGCATGTCATGTCTCAGTTGACCTTGGCAGCAAAACAGGCGCATGCTACTAACATTTACTCACGCGCGTGCGCTACATGTTGTCGACATGCAGTTGTCACGTTGTGGATTTTTCTATCTGTGCTCGCACCTTGCTGCCTTTGTTGTATGCGAGGGGTCTGGGCAGCAGCAGGTCATTGCTAATCACAAGAGCCTGCCCTCCTGCCCCTGAGCAGGGCTTCGTTGTTTCTGCAATCCAGGGATGGCGTTGCGCGTTTTAGATAATGGTGTGGGCGTTTGTTCGCGTCCCAACATGATCAACTTCTGCTGTTGGCCTGGGGTGGAGCTTGTGCGGTCCATTGAAAACACTGCAGTGTGTCTGAACAGTTGTGTGTGCGCTGTTGCAAGTGTTGCAAGCGTTGCAGTCTCCGATTTAGCTTACAGTCGTGGAAGCTAGCACCTCATCCATTCCGTCAACTGGGACTCCTGTGAAGGCTTCATGCTTCTGGGTTCGAAGAAGCGCATCCAGGGTGGCAGGCCCAACAGGGGGCGACATTTGGAGGTGTTGTGGATGTGAAACATTTCAACAGTTTATTGAAGTAGTCTAAGCCAGAGGGAGGCGGGGGAGTATGGGAGCTTTGGATCAGTGAGTCCTGAGTCATCTTCTTTGGGTGGCCGAAGCGGGCGGCAGCCTAACAAGTTCTCCCACGCCATGCATCAGGTTTTTTGATGCTTTGCATTTCCAATCTGCAACGAAGACCTTTGTCGACTTGTTCTTGCTGAATGGGTTCAGTCTCATGTAGCAACCATCTGCCCATCTCCCTGTGTCGAGCTCTTCAGCATAGCAGGGCTTAGGTGAGCGCATGGCTTTTCCCAAGTCTAATTTGCAAGCAGCGCAGTCTTCCAGCCTAGTCACCTTGCGAGCCAAGCCGCGCATCCTTTCAGCTGAAGCTAAGCGTTTGGCATGCAGGTCAATGAGCTTTTCACCAGTGGATCCCTGGCTCTTCGTCGTGGGCACAGAGACAGGTGCCTGCCCAAGCGCTAGCGTGCCGAGATGTACCAAACCACATTCTTTTACATGCAGATTGCATGCAGGGATGAGCTGTGCCCAGTTGGCCACCTGCACAGTCTCAAATGTTCTTTGCCACGCCCCATTTGGCGTCATCTGGTGCCTCTACACAGGGTTTTAAGCTGCACCACACACCTCTGGCGCCCTGATGAGCCTGCCCCACCTTGTGATGAGGCGGCGTGATCCGCGCATTTCGGCCTCCGCCTGGGGCGTCGGTCGTGAAACCATCAGGCGTGGCCGCTGCGTTTTTCAAAGCTGGTGAATAGACTGGGCTAATGCTACCCGGTGGTTTGTGCACACATAAACCTCTCAACCCTAACTTCTGTTTTACCTCGGGGACAGACAGCCTTGCTCAATCACAGTGAAGCCGTGCACAACGGATTGAATCGTAGGGAATCATGTTGGAATCATATTTGCAGACACAAAGCTCCAAACTCTTACTGTCCAAACTGCGCAGAGACTCTGTACAGACTGCCTCCCCCAGGATTTTTCAGAAAAGCAACCTTCGTGCTTAGTTGGCCCCAGGCCCCGGAGGCCGTAGGAGCACGTTCAATTTGAAGCGACGAATTGGTGCCTGAGGGAGCTACACCTGGAAGCCCAGTGCCGCGGCCATCCTCGATCAGCTGGCCGCCAGCGCCAGGCAGTTTCCCTGGCAAGAGCAGAGTCATAGTCTTAAAGATAATCGGGAATGAGGCAATGGGTTCCAGGAGAGCCTGGGCTCATAGCGGCAAAGTTTGATGATCAAGGGAAAGCTTTGCGAGAAGCATGTGACTGAATCTTGGGTATCTTTTGTTTCTCATCACTGCAAGCATGAGTCTCGTTCAGGTGAAGATATTGGGTTGATCTTAAGGTCCTTTAGGGAAGTTATTCATTGTAGGTCGATAAGACAAGGTAGCGTAGATCAGTTTCCATAATGCCAGTTTCGAGAGCCGGAATTCTGGTGAACTACTGAAGCATCTTTAAGTGAGACTGTTCTCCCAGCAAGGATAGGGATGTTTGTTTTGGTGGAGTTCTTTACGTTAGTTTGATTTTGGCCAGTGCGTGATGTTAATTTACCGGTTTTGGCATGATGAGATATTCTAGTCTGCTGTCTTCGCCTCCAGGAACATGCCCATGTCCTAAAATCATCTTGTGGAAGGCTGCAGCTTCAGCATCACGCTGGGCCCTCTGCTTTCGCGTTGATTGGCTGGGATCGGCACAACGAGATGTTTAAAACAGGGTTCTGCTGCTCTCTAAGAGAAGGCCCTTTGAACATGTCAGGGTTGGCCCTGATTCCACTCCCAGGGCTTTTTCCACCTGGTGACCTCGTGCATCTCACATGCCCAGTTTCTGGCACGGCCAGCCTGTAAGACTTGCACGCTGAGGTGGAAGGCTATTGCCGGACGGCAGGGCTCAAGGAGATCAGTGCAGAGGCGGCTCCCCCCAGGGGGCGGCTCCCCCCAGGGAGCTTTTGGCTTCTGATGTTGGGCTTTCTGGCTCACTTCACGATGTGGGGTCTAGGATGTTCACGCGGGTTGCAGTGCCGGCAATTCGTGTCCATTAGGTTCCTCAGGCTTATCGTAGGATGTGTCAGATGGTAAACATGGCGGTTGTGCCTCAGGACGCATATTGTTACAGGTTTTCCGTGGCTTTCCTAGCTAGCGACTCCGCACATCTAGCGGGAGCATCCGTACACACGGATTCCACTGCACCCTGCCTGAAAAAGGCAAGTTAAATTGTCTCAAATCTGAAGCCTTGTCCAAGCCAGGTGATTTTTGCATCCAAGCCGGATCCTGCGATCCTTTTCCCGGCCCCGAAGACGTCCTCCGGCCTGTACTTTCTTGAAAGGAACTTGGAAGTAGAAATCAGGATTGATTTCAGTACATGTTCCGTCCGAACCGACCAGGCATTCCTTGGCCCCCTCAATCGTAGGTCACATGTCTTCAGCTGTGCAGAGGTGGCACTCGAGTCTACTCAAACGGTCTTTCACATTCAATTGTGTGGTCTTTTCTCCGTGGCCGTTTGGGGTTTCAGGGTCACCTCAGGTTTGAAGACATACTCGAGACTAGTCACCCTCCTCACTTTGAACATTGAGGGCAATCTGTGAAGACATAAATGTTTGGGTTGATGAGCTTCACAAGAAAGATGATCCCTGGAACTCCCAAGGACAGCACCTATGCCTTACGTAGATTCAACATTGGACATGTCTTTGCGCGGATCCTGTGCATGTCTCTGAGCCCTCTGCATGCCGTGCATGCCGCAAGCCAGGACAGACCTGGAGCCTCATGCTGGCCCAGTCACTGTCGCGGCGTGCCATGAGACGTGCTTGTTGGGTTCCCCAAAAATCCAGTGCCTTCAACCCTTGTCACCGGTGGCTTCAGAGGAGAGTTTTTAGCTTCTCAAAAAAGGGGACTGCTTTTTAATCTTTCAGAAGCAGGACAATCACATTATGAGCTCTTTCTGCTGTACCTTGGAATGCTAACTTCT